TGGACGAGTAAGTACTCTTCATCCATATGGACCTGTCTGTACTAACATCAAGCAGCCATCTCCCCGATAACCGCGTCGCGATCACCCTCCACTTCTTGCTCCACGGCATCCACCACTACCTTCCCATGGACAGATACAGGCTCGTCATGCCACCTACACTCTTCGCTGTCTTGGCGGCACCGTTCTGGAAGTTCGCCCACGCGATCATCTTCTGGAATTGGTATGCCGCTCTGGCTGCCTACTGTGGTGGTATCTTTGGCTACACTTGCTACGACATGACACATTACTTCCTCCACCACCAGAAGTATGTATACCCATAGATCACTTTGAAGGACCTCGCTAACAAACTGAAGGCTACCTCCGTACTACCAGCAACTCAAGAAGTACCACCTTGCGCACCACTTCGCCGACTACCAAAACGGTTTCGGTGTCACCAGCCGCTTCTGGGACCGCATCTTCGGCACCGAGCTTGAGATGGGACCCTCCAAGGTCATCAAGTCCACTTGAATGGCGACGCACGAATAGACTATTGTTATTAGACACCCACCTGTCACCACGTTGTCAAGACCGGCATTGAAGAAGGCGTTCAGCGGGTCTGCAGGGCCATTTTGGGTCGATGCGGCTTTGATGTTTTTAGATAACTTTATGACTCACTACCTCAGATAATAGTAATGCCAACAATCACTTCACTTCTGTTCACCATTCTTCAGTCACTGCTCATTTTCCTGTTGCGCTCACGGCGGCAGTCACCGAAACACGTGATCTGCTGCCTATTAGGACCCTGCCAAGGCCTCTCCAACTTTTCAAGTTATCACGCCCAGGCCTGCCTCTCCGCTTTCCACTCACCCACCCATTAACACGTCGTGCTGCACGAGCAAAGCTTCAATCAAGCACCCATTTGTCAAGTGCATCTCGCTCAAGAGGTCATTCGGCAAGCGCCAGCAGTGACATTTCTACGTCCGTTCGATATCGCAATTGAAATCAATACTTGAGCCCCAGCTCGCCATCACAACAACACATCGCCCATTGCCGTGACATCGCGCATCACTTCCACCAGCTACGCTTATCGAGAGCTAGGAACCGCCACCGACGTCGACATGTCTACCCAAGCCGCAGTCGAGGCCCTCCTCGAGGAGACCGCCCGCGAGGTCGAGATGAAGGACGCCGAGCGCAAGCGCACTGCCAGCAGCGAGGCGCGCGACACCGACAGCCGTCGCGACGACCGCCACTCAGATCGCCGTGACCGCCGTGATAGGAGCCGAGACCGTGGGGACCGTCATCGTGAGTCCAATGGAGATCGCCGTCGCAGCCGCGATAGAGACCACCGCCGAAGAGACGGAAGCCGTCCCCGTTCTAGCAAAGGTGCTGACACAGATGAAGACCGTGATAGGCTCCGCCGAAGCAGCTCGCGCGACCGCCGTGGAGGTCGTGGAGGCCGTGACCGCGGAGGCGACTTCTACAGCGGTAGCGGTCGTCCGCGTTCTCGCTCCCCTCGCGACCGCGGCAACGACAGGTACCGCGAGAGGTCCCGCGACCGTCGCCGCAACGGTGGTGATGACCGCCGCAACAGCCGTCGCAACAACACTCCGCCCAAGCCAGAGGTCACCGAGGACGATCGCGACAAGCGCACCATCTTCGTCCAGCAGATCTCCCAGCGCGCTGAGATGCGCCACTTGCGCAGCTTCTTCGAGCGTGTCGGCCCTGTTGTCGAAGCTCAGATCGTCAAAGACCGTGTTACCGGCCGTAGCAAGGGGTGAGTACTCACTTCTTCGTTCCTCATACATATATGCTAACATCCCTCCAGCGTCGGCTACGTTGAGTTCGAAGCTGAAGAGTCTGTACCTCTTGCACTGGAGCTGACTGGCCAGAAACTGAAGGGCGTCCCCATCATTGCCCAGCTTACTGAAGCCGAGAAGAACCGTGCTGCTCGTCCTTCCGAGGGCGGTGCTGCACCCGGTGCCAACGGCGCCCCCTTCCACCGTCTCTACGTCGGCAACATCCACTTCAGCGTCACCGAGAAGGATCTCCAGGAGATCTTCGAGCCTTTTGGTGAGCTTGAGCAGGTCATCCTCCAGCGCGATGAGTTGAACCCTGGCCGCTCCAAGGGATATGGTTTCGTTCAGTAAGTCGTCTGTCCATGTTCACTGCGACATCATTTGCTAACACATCACAGGTTCGTTGACCCCTCGCACGCTAAGAATGCTCTCGCAGAGATGAACGGTTTCGAGCTCGCTGGCCGCCAGATCCGCGTTGGTCTCGGCAACGACAAGTTCACCCCCGAATCGACCGCGAACCTCCTCCGTACATTCACCCAGCAGGCTCAGTCCTACCAAGGCTCTGCCTTCAGCGGTGCTGGTGGCCGTGGTGCCTATGCTGGTGGTACTGGTGGTGTCTTCGACCGTACCCATAGCAAGGACGACCGTGGGGTTAGCGGCGCCTCTGCCCTCGACGACTCTGATGTCGCTGGAGTCAACTTCAAGACTTATGACCGCAGCAGGCTCATGGACGCTCTCGCTCGCCGCGACGTTCCCGGTGACTCCAGGCAGGGCGGTCAGGCTATGCCTGTACCCACCACTCGCAAGGCTCCCGCCCCGGCCCCCGCCACTCCCATGGCTTCCAAGTGCGTCAAGATCGAGAACGTCTTTGACCCTGACGAGTAAGTCCTTCCATCTTTTCCGTGACATTCGCTAACACATCACCAGGGAGCAGCGCAACTACGGTGACAACTGGAACAAGGAGCTCCAACACGAGATCAAGTCCGAGTGTGACAAGAAGTACGGCAAGGTCGTTCACATTGCTGTCGACGCCAACAGCGAGGGTGACGTCTTCGTCAAGTTCGACTCCGTCTCCGGCGGTGAGAAGGCTCTCCAAGGTCTCAACGGTCGTACCTTCAACAGCCGCACCATCCGCGCTTCCTACGTCGTGGACAAGATCTACAACTCCCTCTGGGGTGCTGCTGCCAGCAGGTTTTAACCGAACGGTACGTCACAACTGTCGTGGGGTGCTCGGTAGCCACTACTGCCGAGCATGCCCAGTCACTCATGTGTACAGTATGCCTTGATCGGTTCTTACGTTTTCTTCACGGCTCATTCTCTCGGTTTACTCTTACGGTTTCTACTCTCGGCACACTCTCACACCTCTGGCACGTATGCATGGCGTTGACGGTATGATACGACTCTCTTTCTTTCATCTGTTTGTTCTTCTTTTTGAGCGTTGCTTTTCAGGCTATGCTGGCGAAGGTGTACAACGTGCAGTGCTTGGATGGTGGAAGCTGCGTTGTCAAGATCAACGTGAGGGATGAACGAACGTTCAGAGGTATGATGGATGAAGGTCTTGGTGAGAACTGAAAGGATAAGGTCTCGATGGATGACGGACATGATTGTTTAGGCGGATGATGGGCGAGAGCTTGTATATGGCGCGGGACATGGCGGTGGAGGAGTGCTTACTTCGGTACGTTCTGTGGAAGGACTTCGGTCTTGTTCAGATCTTTCACTTGGTCTCAGGTCTCCTCACATACGATTGCACATACGATTGCGCATGCATCAGCGGCATTTACCACGGAAGCGGAGGACTCATGGCTGCTAATATCACATAGGACCAGCTCGTCTCTTCCTGTCTTCCTGGATGACTTGTCTGCCAATAATCATGTGTTTAGATACTCTCTTGGATTTTTCCCTCGTTGCCATGGCCTTTTGATGTGGAGAGTGGGATGCGGGTTGGGTTTTTGAGGCTGTTGTTGTGGTTTGACCCTCTTCCGCTGCTGACCATGTTGTTGCCTGACGTCGTGATAGGTTTCGATTGTATCGTTTTGCTGTGGCTAACTAGGACTCTCGAACCGCGGCACTCTCACATTCCTGGATATTGAAATCACATCGCGTCGACCATTTGCCGCATCGGAGTCGGTCAGAATCTGATGGCTTCCATATTTTGCTCTCTCTAGGTCCGCTAGAATAAGCTCCTGTGTCGCGTCGATGCGCGTATGTGACTTCACGCGGTTGCCCCGTTCCATGTGTTGTCCTCCTGGAGCATCGCATCAACAAGGCCGCGGAAAGTTGAGTCCTTTACCTAGGGCGACCGATATATCAGGTCTGCCGCGGTGGCTCGTCCGCATTCACCGGCTAGTGACAATGCCCAAGGTTTGGCCTCAGCGACGTATGCTTCATAACAGCGCACTGTAGTGACTGCACGGTGAGCAATTGATCGTAGATACCCGCTATCCTGCCTTATTCAATGTCGCTTGCATGATTCTACACCAACAGTGCCGACGTGCATGGTTTCCCGCTCCTGCTGATGCACGACGGCATGACAAAGCTGAACGGGGCGGCTAGATTACTCCAAATGGCGAACGTGGTCCTATCATCAAACGAAGGCGGCTATGCCTGATTCTACAGCTCCTCCGTGCATGCATTGCTTAGTAAAACTAATCTAGTCCTAGAGCTTACGGTGGCCTTGCGGCTGCAAAATGCATGCCAACTTCAACTCCAGTCCTGCAAACGACAGCTAGAGCTTCACTGGAAGCTACCACATCTACAATGCCGATCGAACCAGAACAGCCAGACACACCAACGGAAAGGTCGATACCTAGTCATACCTCCGAAACCAGTACAGTTGTGCCTAGAGTCGACCGACCATGCACGCGATGTGCATCACTCAATCTCAGCGTCAAGAGTTTCGTGATCAAAGACGATAGACCTGCTGAGATGCGCATGTCGCTCGAGTCCCTGCGGTCAGCTAACGAACGATTTCGTCTTGGGACCCTTGGAAGCATCAGAGAGCGAGCTGCAGCGTGCCCCCTATGCGATCTTGTAGTTAGTTTCATCGAAGAAGAGAAAGACGTCGTTGGCAAAGATGCAGTATGTCATTTGACCTGGGAAATGGACGGGCGCGCTCCGGGCGACACCAGGCGCGCGCAAAGAGGAAAACGGACCCGTCGACTGAGAGTCACATGGAGTGACCTATCACTTAAATCCCTCGAGGCATACTTGGTATTAGCAGCACCAATGAAATATGCAGTTTCCGATCTCGACTATCCCAAGCAATTGAACAGGGAGACGCTATTCCTCGGCCGACGCTTCGGCGCAACGGAAAGCAAGAAGAATCTCATTCGCGAGTTCTTACGACTCTGCGAAACGAATCATGACCGTCGCTGCACCCAGAAGATCGGTATCGAGAACCCTTTTCTTGAAACGCTGACGGAGCCGTACTTCGGCGTTATCGATATCGAAAACGACCGTCTTGTCCCCTTGCCATATGGGGAGACGGAGGGCCATCTCCATTTCGAGCCATATGCGGCTGTGAGCTATGTTTGGGGAGACACTGGTGCGATGGACTATCGGACGAAGATTGAGAACATTCAGAATCGAAGGAAATCTGGTGGACTCGCAGCTACTATCCGAAAGCTACCGAAAGCTCTCGCACAGAGCATCCGCCTTGTTCACGACTTGGGGATCAGGTATGTTTGGATCGATGCATTGTGCATCGTCCAGGATAGTAGTCACTCGTGGAATCTCAACGCGCGAGCCATGCATCTCATATACGGCAACGCTACGCTGACGATCTGTGCCGCTGACGGCGATTCACAGACGGGTCTGCTAGCTCTAGACGATGACCAACGGCCGCAGCAACGAATCGGAGCTTATGCCGAGGGCGTGCTTCTGGTTCTGCATCAGCCACCGGAGATCAGCATCCAGACATCGAAGTGGAACAGTCGCGGTTGGACATTCCAAGAACGCATGCTTTCGAAGCGGTGCCTGATATTTACCGGCGGCCAAATATACTTTCAGTGTCGCTCTACGGGAATGTCGGAAGATATCTTTGCGGACCCGGAAGGCCGAGGGTGGTCGCTGGATTTGGTCCAAGCCCCTCTTCAGATGCTCACGGAGCTCAAGCAACGCAGCATGTGGTTCTATGCTCACTGCGTTCACCTCTACACGATGCGCGAGCTTTACGAACCGCTCGATATTCTGGCAGCTTTCAGTGGGATGTGTAAGCTGATGGAGGGTACTATGCAGGCGCCCTTTGCATTTGGGCTTCCGACATCGCACTTCGACCTCGCCCTTTTGTGGGAGCCACTCGACTTACTAACTCTACTAGACTACGACAAGGTCTCAAAAGAACCAAAATACAAGGATCTTAAGTTCCCCAGTTGGTCGTGGTGCGGGTGGAAAAGTAATGGCATTCAATACAAAGCCCAGATGGTCGATGGTTGCCTCTCTGATGTTCACGCTTGGCTGCAAGAACACACATGGATTGATTGGCATATTAGAGATGGCCATGGAAAACTGCGTCGTCTCTGGGACAGAGATTTTTCCCTCACTGATCGTAGTATTGACGGCAAATGGAAAGGGTACCCCGCATTCGAACGAACTGAAGAGCAACCCGTTTACGAGTCTGGTAGTGAAGATATCAGCGATATAAACGACACTTACAGTGCGATCGATATTCATAAGGACGGACCTAGTCACGATGAAACTACTACCTTTGCCCGTCAAATGAGTAACACGCTTGGCAAGAAAACATCGAAGCCAATACGATATACTAGCAAAGTAATCTTCGACGATGTACCCAGCCGTGATACGCATGATGGCTACGGTCGACCGTACAAACATTTACTACCAGATGGATGCGAGCTAGTCCCAGTGAAATATGCGTTCAATCTAACGCTACCTGAAGATCCATACCACGTCAGGACATCGGCACCCAGACGGCCTACGGACGGCCTGAAAGAGTTTCCCGATCAGCCGTTCTTACAGTTTTCCACCTGGAGAACCTCATTCCACATCGTGCGCTCAACCGAGTCCGACGTGAGGGACGACGACGTCGGAGCAACAAGAGCGCGATGCCACATCGCAGACCGACGCGGCGATAAGTGCGGATCCATCGTTGTTAGCAAGGAATGGCTTGAGAAGTATGAGGCCACGGGTCAGACCATGTTCGAGTTCATCGCCATCTCAGATGCCAAGTCGTTCAGCCAGCAAGAATTCCCTGTCTGGACATACTATCTACCCAAGGAGAGAGTGGAGTCTGAATGGGATCTCTTTTTCGTGCTCCTGGTGGAGCCGTTTCCTGAGGAAGGCATCTATCGGCGGGTGGCACTTGGCAAGGTCTTTCAAGCGGCGTTTGCTCAATCTCCCGACGAGTGGAAAGAGATCATCTTGGGGTAGCCAATGTTCTCGTGCATGGCTATCTATCGCTTCCTCCTCTTCGATAGATCGCGTGCATGTTTATTGAAACCTTTCGTTTCGATGACGTTGTATCGAATAGCGAACACGCGCTAGACCTTCGCAGGGTATATATATAGCTGGACGAATAACTGTGGGATTCACTCTCTTCGCACGTCGAAGCTTCTGTGGGAGATTATGTATTATCCATCGCAGTGTGTTGAGTGCTCATACTATGCGCGCAGTGACAACTTGGGATCGGAAACACAAAAGCGCCCTCGGAAGTGCGCCAACACCGACTCTTTCAAACACGAATCCCTCGCTCCGACTTACTGGTGTGACCACCAAGACGTGATACATGTGCTTAGGACAGGTTTCCACATCTCGACCGACTACCACACACTCAAGTGTTTGTGCGTCGATAATGTCAGTTCTATCGAACTTCACCCGGCCTATCTCGGCACTACCTGCTGCGCTTCGTACATCGCAAGCTTCATCATCCCTCGGTTCGATCTTACACTGCTGTAAGCGTCTCGTGGTAGCCTGTAGTTCTCCATCTGCCAATCGGATCTCAGAATTCCACTCAACCTCGCAGCACTCGACTTTGGGATATGCGATGCGCCCACTGACTGCCATCCAAGACCACGAAGGTACCTGTCGGTCGGGTGCAAACTGAATTCGCTGCATTCTGGAAGTACCAGCTCGATGCCATAGGAGACTTCTGTGCAGATAGTCATCGAAAACGCCATGCGAAGCCCGCATCTTGAACGTCTCAGCTAGTCGATCTACCAAACCGGAAATTGCGACAGGCCTATCAGTGGGATTCGTGATGCCGAGCTGCGAATATCTTTCGAACAGGTCCTGGAATAATCGGATCTTGTCGCGTCTTCGACGATGCATGAGAGATGCTGGGAACTTTGGATCGGCTAGGAAAAGCGCTTTCGAGCTGGAGGTGCGTTAGTGCCCGATCCTCCGGTGGGCGATCCTACGTCATTGCAACTCACTTGCGCATTCGAGTAAGCGTTTCGCAGCGTACCCCTCCACCACATTCCCAATATGTCTGGTTGGCCGTGAAGTGAATAGTCCGTCGAGACAGTGCTCGCTCCTGTAAGACCCAGGCTCGCTGATTCAAGACGCCGTTTTCGACATCGCTATGATAATCGTCGATGATGCTGCTGATTAACACGGTTCCATGTGTGCTTGTGTGAACCTTGGCAAATTGAGAGTTCGGGTCTCGCAATCGTGGTCGCTCTAAGAAACCCTGGGTAGCATCTTGAGCAGACGTCGCGGCGATCGTTACGTGTGCATTACCGAAGATGTTGCCCATTTGCCCCGACTCCTTTCTCCAATCTTCGAGATCATCGTCATACTGAACTATGCATATCGAGTCGATCCATAAGTATCTTTTGCCGAGCTCGCGCGTCACCGTGATAGCATCCTGAAAGGTTTTTGAAAGTGTGTCAATGTCCAGACCCTGGGTGCATCTGAGCGTAAAGTTCCCAGAAGACGTGCAGAAAGACCTCTTCTGTTCTTGCGATAACGTACCCCAGCAATGTGACAGAGCGACGTACTCCCCTCGCTCACCTACTCTGGACACATGAAGTCGCAGCCGGTTGTCACTGACATCGAGAACTCTGGTAGGCAGTCGAGAGGTCTTTTTGGGGTAGCATTCAAAGCTTTTGTGTTCTTCATCGCACACCCGCATCCATTCTCGAAAGAGCCCAAAACGACTATCGTTATCGAGCAACATTGGGAATCCAATCTGCGTACCCGAATCACCAGCTATGGTCGCTGTGTGAATTGATCAGCCCCTGCAAGATCACGAATAAAAAGTGACCAACCTGGCGCGGCGCACAATCTATACGGCGACTGAACAATGTGTTTGAGAATTCCGGCTGCATCACCTGCGTTGAGCTTCGGCTGCAATGGACTATTGCAAAGCGCACACCAACTCATTATCCTATTATCACAAACCCCCGTTGATGTTTTCAAACAAATCCTACCACAGCGTGTACAGAGGGGTAAAGCAGGTGCCATCTGGCACATTTGCTGAATCTGCGTGTGAAACAATTCCGCGAAAACATTATCAACAGGATAGGTCCACACGTCTTCCATGTTCCAGAGCTGGAGGAGATGGAGTTTGAACTCTTCTCCCTTGCCGTCAAGTTCCGTTTTCAAACGTAGCACGCGAGGACGTAGAATATCCCGAAGAATGGTTTTAGGCAATTCTCCCCCCCTTTGCTTCGTGAGCCTCATAATCTTTTTACGAAGATTGGTTGTACCCGGGATTTTAAGTTTGAAATATTGTTCTTCCCATAATTCGATCTCCTGAAACTCTGGGGTATAGATGCCATCGTCATGGTCGGTAGTGTTGGTAGGTAAATCGGAGAGCTTATCTTTAAGCAGTCGCGCATTCCGTCGCTTGACCGTCGTGCTTTTGGCGATATCTAGGTTGCGCTTCCTGGGCCGAAGTACGCGTCGTTGAGTGTCTGGCTGTCGCGCCGTCGTCTGACGGCCCATTTTGTTGTTGTCTCCAAGGGCGCGATGAGAACTCTTTTCGTTCTGGAGCGTATGGATCGGAACTTGAATGGCTGGAGTATTATATGTCGGTAGACAACAGAGTGCAAAAAAGTGGATGGATAATACGACGCGCAAAAGCGTTTTACGTTCGCGGGCGAACGAGCCAGACAAGCAAGTTACGAGGAGGCGCAGCTGCTGCGGAGGGCCACGCTAACGCTGTGCCACCGCCACGATGCTGTCATGGTCTGTACTACTCGAAACACCGGTTAGAAAATGCAAGTCCGCCCAAAGTTGCTCAAACCTATCCACGACCGCGCGTTCTACGACTTGAGGTACTTTGTTTAGCGATGCATACACAAAGTACTGGAATATCAGACAATGAGTCTCGAACAAGAGAAGGCAGTGTAGCCTTGCAGCATGCGTCGTAAGCTGGAATGTGGCTGCCTCCCCGGTATGATGGGGCTGTGTTCCCGAAGTTGTCTTTTGGGACGAATCAGCCTGACCGGTCAAACTTGCCGCGGGATCGTGCAGTGACAAAATCTGCATGTTAGTTCTTAGGAAAGGTAGTAAAGTGCTGTAGTATATTGTGCGTAGTGTAGACGTAGTGTGGGCCTAGTGTACTCATCTCATCGCGTTGTAGTACCGACACCAACATGTCCTATGTCGACCGAAGCTGCAACACCCATATACCGTCGCGCTTCCAGTCTCTCGCTATCTGAACTCTTATACACTCCATCTAGTGTTTCCTTCGACGAGGGCATTGCAGGAACTTCACTTCCCCGTGCGATGCGGCTGGCCCAATGCACACTGCCAATATATACGTCAGACTCATTCATCCCTTCACATACGACCATAGGATCATGAAAATTAGGCTTCCCGTCCGCTCAGCCATATACAAGCATGATACCGGCGGATTAGTAGTTAGGTGGGTGACCACTAGCGAATCCCCGCTGTTGTATGTATTTTGATGTTTTTTTTTGCCCATCTTTTTGCTCCATGTCCGGGGCGGGCAGGTGGGCCGACGGCGAGAACAAGCTTAACCAGGTTGACACAACAGAAGACATGACCCCGTCTACAATCTTGACACACCTTCCATAAGATCATCAACTGCGCTGTCTTGCGCAGTCGCGATTTTTGCGTCCAAAAGGTGCTCAGCTAAGTCGTCCATCTCTGCATCTTCATCAGGCGTGACTCTGTCCTGCTCCTCACCTCCAGTCTCTTCGCTCACGACTCTCATTTCCCAAATCCCATGCATCGTGTCTCTTTTTTGTCCCAAGGCCTTAAACCCCTCAAGATACTTGATGCGGAAGATACCTGCTTTCTCTTCTGCTTCACATACCCTACCTCCCTTCTCGACAGCTTTTAGCACGGCTTCATATGTCCAGAGCTGCACGTTCGTCTCTACGTTGTCCGTTAGTCTCCGCGCACCCGAGACTTTCTTCCGCTCTTCGAGGTATCGCGGGTATTGGCTGCGTATGCGATCTTCGATGCACGCGGGGCAGATGAATGGATGGGCTTGTAGGTTCTCTTGTCGCTTGAGCCATGACAGCGGAAGTTGAGGTTTCGCGGAGTAGATACTGCGCGTGCAGTTTGACGAGCATGGCGACTTCGGGGCGGGGAAGCACATCGGTGTGGGAGGCGAGGACGGCGACTTGATGATGTGTTCGCAGTCTAGAGTGTGGAGAGGGGTGGACGGGTCATCGCAGTGATTTCGAGGCGGCGGCTTGGTGAGCGCCATGGTAGGGTGCGATATGTGTTAGTTGGATAAGTCGCGGGCGGGGAGAATTTGGGGTTGGGTGTGAGTGAAATGGTAGGCTGCAGTGATGGGATTGTGAAGACATGATGCGGATGGACATATGGTAGAGGGGTCGAAGTGCAAGTGAGATTACGGCTATTTGGGGGTGTTGTTGTGTCCTCGGCACACAATGACCACCTTCATTGAAGGTGCAGTGCATCTGCTGTCGTTATAATCTCCTTGGCTACCGGAGCCCCAAGCCCTTCTTTCTTACCAGGCAGAGCTCCTTCCAGCCATCGCTTGTGCTTTACATTCTTCCAACCCACAACCCTAAACACCAATTCCCTTCCCATTGTCCGTTTTGCTTTTACATACATCCCTGTACTCACTTCCTGGAGCAAGTGGCCAGTTTTCCGTATCACGGCTTGATCTTCATAGCGCACATTGTATACAACGCGCTCGATCGAATGACGCTCCGGGATATTACGGTATGCTTCGCGCCAGCTTTGAATGAAGGGAGTCATCAATGGGGGGTCGTAGATGTAACCGTCGTTTGGAACAACATCGCAGGAGACGATCGGGGATATCCCGATGTGCAGCGCTCTGATTGCAGTGACGGGGAGTGAGAAGCAGTCGTCGGCGGACTTGCGTGAAGACGGCGGCTGGAGGATGGGAACATTGGCGTCGCCGGTGGCTAGCTTGCTGCCTAGGACTGAGAGGGTCTCGGGATCGTTGATGGTAACGAGTATGTATGGTGTGTTACCAGGCATGGTTTGTTCGTAGATATCTGGGCATTCTGACGATGCGGTGAGAGTGTCGGGATACTCGGTATCTGTTCTCAGCTCTAGAGAGACTGGCATCGCGGAACTTTGATTGTTATATGGGTCGTCAAGGAAGAAGGGTGTGAAGAGGAGTGAATGTCGATGTTGATGTCGAGGCTTTTGACGTTTTGCCTCCGCAATGCTGACCTTTTAGGCAACCATTTGGGCAGCCAATGAGCGCGGCTATCTTCTATGCTGCTAGATAGGAACAGACTTCATTGTTCTCTCTGGCTCTTCGAGCTATTGGTCCTTGGTGCCGAGACATCCGAACATCGCCAGCGTTCACTTCCCGCAAGTGTCGGTCATCTTGCGCGTCGCCATGTTGTTACGTCGCAAAGCAAGCAGGCACAACCAGCAATCAATGTGGAAGCAGAGGTAGCAAGCTGACGTCATTCTTCAACCACTCGTCAGTCGCGCCTACCCCAGCTTCACGATACCTCCGCCAAGTTTCGTATGGTGCAACTATATACTACACCACCATGTGAACCCACACCACGAAATTGACCGAAGACGTTATAACACCCTCACTATCTGCAGCGTACGCGATGCGCATTCTGAAATCATGGGGGAGGTGAAGACTGCGCGGTTGCTATTGTGCGCGGCCTGCCCTTCACTAACTCCGGCTGCGTGAGCATCGCCAATCCAAGAGCTCACACCCAACTCACCCTCACTTCTTGGCGGTGAATTCTGAGTATTCAATCTTATTGTCGCGAAACCGACTCTTCGCTTTCGACTCACTCGACCTCGCCTGACCTACAGTCAAAGCTACCGACCACACACCTACCGCGCATACAACATCGCGCTTGCCGCCTACATCATCCTGTATCCCGACCTGTTCTCGTCACTAGCACGCATGTCGTCGTCCGTCGTCAGACAGTTCGGCAACATGCTCGCCACTCGGCGGTCGCTCCCAGGACAAGCAGCCGCGCCGTCGCCATCCACCAAGCAGAAGTCCGACTCCAAGGAGAAGACAGACGCCATACACGAGACAGTCACCTACCCACGCGTCCTAGGAATACGGGACGCAGACCCATGCAACAACGCATCCATGTCCTACGAGCATCTCCTCCAATGCGGTCACCTCATCACCACACCCATGCCCGACGAGCGATGCGCACCCAATTGCTACTGCATCAAGCACGGATGGCACGAGATCAACGGCGACGAGAAGAAGAAGGCGAAGATGCTGCTGTTCTATTGCGACGCGTGTGTAGAGGAGAAGAACGAAAAGCTCGTGGCTGGTACTTTGACCTCAACGGCTGCAGGCAAGTGAACTTACTAGCATTTAACGCTCGCGGCGACGCTAACCATCTGACAGAGAACCTGCGTCTCACCCTGCGCGAAAAGGAAGCCACGAAGCGCGAGAAGCAGACTAAGTTTCGCAAGTGCTATATCGCACTCAAGATCACCTCGGTGCCTTGCCACACCGACGGCGCACTACGCAAGAGTTATACGCCGCGCAAAGAGCATCATCCCTTCGATATTTCGATCCCTCGAGTAGGCGACAACTTCTTCGAAGATATGCTGGTGAACCCGGTGAAGGAACCGAAGGCGCCTCACATCACTACCGCGACCGCGCCCAGAGAAGCAAACCGCCCTGTCGTCGGCAGTAGCCCAGCCAACCTCGGCGAAGCCGGCGAGAACTACCTGCGATACACAGCAGCGCAATCTGCAGCACCCAAGGCACCCAAAGCCAAGCCGAGCGCCTCCAACGCTAAGAAGACCGCGTCGCTGTCTGCTCCCCGCGAGGCCGCTGCAGCATCACCGGTAGTACCAAGCTCTGATGTCGCGCAGAAGATATCTCCAAAGCAGTCACGCAAGAGGCCCATCGTCATCGACGACGATGAGGATTACGTGGACGCGCCGGAGAAAGAAACAGAGGTTGTCAAGAGGTCCAGGAAGCGACAAAAGGCTACTTCGTTGCCGTTGCCGCTGCCAGCTACCCCGAAGAGGAAGCCAGGGCGTCCTAAGGGAAGTGGCCGCAAGAAGGTGTGAGGGGTTGGCGGATACAGGTGGTGCGAAATCGTGAGGATGTGGAGGTGATGACGAGGTTGGACATTACAAGGACAGAGTGGATGCTGCTATGCGATGCCTAGACGCTGCTATGCGATGCCTGGATACTGTCGTATTTGCCGGGCTGGTATTCTGGTACGGGTACATACTGAATAGAACATGTCGTTGATGATGCTTTCGATGGAAGATGTGATGAAGAAGATGATGGATGGCCATGGTGTGCGATGTTGCTTTCACCCCACTTGGCCTGCTGACTAATCTACATTCTGCCATCTCGCCACTCTTCTCTTCAATGTACCAAAGACATGATTTATGCATACAACATGTCTTGTGTTGACGTTCATTAACGCAATTTACATGGTCTATCTTCATGCTCTACTACATCCAATTCCACCCCATCAAACACCTCCCCACATCGCAATTTCCAACCCCCCTTAATCCAAAAACCACTCACAATACGCTAGCAAGATAGAGTCCAGATAGCACACAACATACAACGCCTGAGACCAAGATTACCGCGATCTCTATGTTCGACATTTCGTCCACGCTGTGAACTCTGATATCCCGCCGCCTATCATCTCTTTGTGAAGGGAGACCGCGTTCTAGATCAATTGTAGTGCGCTCTTGCTGGTCGTATGTGTTAGGGCGGATGATTGAGTCGGACATGGCGTTGGTATCAGTCGTTGTTTCGCGAGCAACTGTCGAATGGTTGGTTGATTTCGCTGTTGCGTACTGTTATGTGGAGCTCGTAATATTATGGGTGGCACAGGGAATATGATGAATGAGTGAGACGATTATGTAGAGTGGCCGGGCGCTGATTAGTGAATGTGCAATGCACTAGTCCGCTGAAACATCGTGTGAGTGGAAGGCATGTGGCGCTGCGAGCGACTTGTGTAGCCCCCGCCCCATACCGCGATCTCCAATCCCTTCACCCACCAATCACTCACAACACACCAGTACCATAAAGTATAGACAACGCAAAACTCACACCGCTCACAACCAAAAGTACCGCGATAGTCATGTTCACCCATTCACCCTGCCTGTACATCCCAGTATACCGACGTCCACGTCCATCATGTCCGTGCGAGGAGAAACCGCGTTCTAGATCAGGCATGGCGGGCTCTGGCTGGTCGTGCGGATTGGGGTTGGGGTTGATGAATAAGCTGATGAGGAGGTGGTTGGCGGCTGCGGAGTTGCGAGTAGCCGTCGAAAGGGAGGTTGAAGTAGATGTGGAGATATTGTTGTTTGGGGTAAGTGTTGAGGGGGTTGATAGAGTGGTTGTAGGGGTACTGTTGTCTTGGGTTCGTAGGATTATGGGTGGCATCGCTGTTACTGTGGGTCTGAGTGTTGTTAATATGAGCAAGGTAAGTGTAAAAATAGTCCCGGCGCTCTATAAGTGAATGTGCAATGGGTTTGTTTGCTGCCTGGGTGGATGGATGGAAGAAATGTGGTTCTGTAAGTCCCTTCGAGACTGCATGATCGAAAGTACCTGTGTGTTCCACAATACTTCTTTTCCTGGAAATGAGTCAAAAGCCTTACGTGTTATTGCGCTACTAGCTATGAAAATGGCTCCGCTGGCTCTAGTGATCATTTCTCGCGATCCCCCTCGTTCCCCGACGAACATCAGCAGAGTTAAGGGACTGACGATATGCTTCCATAAATGGCTGCATCCTGTTCACCATGAATTGTTTCTCAATGCCAGCATCTTCGACGTCGTCCACATATTGTCGAGCCGCAAGGGCGATGGCCATCTAAGCAGCATATACAACTTTAGATCCTTGGACGGAACGTAGGGTATGTTTTCCAAAGCCGACGAGTGGCGGACGTACTGACAATATCCTCGGACAGTCGCTGCAGCCTCCATCTCACTACCGACGACCCAGATCTTGTCAAACCCACCTATAATCGTATTTGCAACGACGATAAGACCGCCCACTTCGAGCGACAGGAGGCGATTTTCCAAGGTTTCTGTAAAGACATCCAATGAATTCTCAAGAAAGACAACATTCTCTAAGCGAAGTCTGATTGATAGTCGAAATAACTTCTGGACTGCGATCCGGTTCAATGTCACATTGACGAGGCTCAACGTGTCGAGACTGGAGGTCCAGATCGGACAAAGAAGCTGAGACGATCCCGACACTAGCCCTATCTGAGGCGTGGACATGTGGAGCGCGTTGTTCTCTGCGAGCGATCTTCCTGAAAAGATCAGATGCCGTAGATGTGGACAGCGCAAGGTGTTGGGCATGATGAGAGTATCGTTGGCCAGTCTCATCTTCAACGAATCGCTGCTATACCCATCAGACTTGTCGCCACTGTTAAATTTGTATTCCAGGGTAGTGAGATGAGAGAGCACCATGTTTCCGGTGGGAAACCCGACGAAGCCTAGTGTGTTGAAGTTGATGGAGGCTTTCCAAAGTCGCTGCCCCTGGCGGTGATCTACGTGTCTAAGCAAAGCGTAGAAGATGTTCATGGAGTGCCTGCATTGAGCTTTCGCGCAGGTGTACCGTAGCGGATAGTTTTGAGCAAGGCCAAATGAAGGGAGAACAATGTTGCCTGTATTGTCTCCGCACGGCTTTTGATCGAAGACATGTTCTGTGGGAAGCAAGTTGCTAGTCTCCCTGAGTGGTGTATGCTTCGTGTACGCTCTATCCACGGAAAGAGGAAGCATGCTGCGGGTTGGCCGATAACAAACTGTTTCCAAATTGATGAACAAGTCCATCCAACCTACGCTGTTATCTTCCAACCATGTAGACCAAAGATAGGGATCCGTCATCCGGTCGTGTTGACAAGGGCGGTGGAACTCTCGGTCACGATAGCTTAGTCCTGCCCTCTCGAATTCTGCAACCTCCAGTCGTCGTGGCGCCGCATCTTTGTACACTATAGCCCTTACGAGTTTCGCTCGAGCAGGATCGTCAGCGATGCCTTTGAGTATGGCGATGCTCTTTAGATCTGGCGCAAAGCACACAGTGCGATAGAGATATTTCTGGAACCCCGGTTTGTTGCAGGCCTTGGAGGTCAAGAGGAAGCTGATGACATCGTGGGAACTCTCGTTGTTATCACAAATCACGTACCCTAGCACGGCATCGATAAGCTCGTTCGGCAACGGCAGCTCGCTGCGCAGTGGAGTTACCGGTGAGCAGTTCCCGTCGTGAAGTCGCAGACGACATGGCTGATCGATGACGCGAGTTTGGCTATCGGCCGGCGGGATTGGCCACGGTACCATCCGATCCATATCAGCTATGAGTCGAAGGGGTTTTGAGAGTCTAGGTCAGCATCAGCGACTGATACAGATATATACAGATGCCCGTGTCGCGTGTCGCATGGACTACACCAAACGAACGAACAGCATCACATGTCGCTAAGCCGTTGTTGCAGCCCTTGTGAGCACTGACAAACCATGTGAAGGTTTACAATACTAGAGCCGCAAAGTTTGCGTCTCGTTTCGGCATTCTCGCTTACACCGAGAAACAAAGCGTGCTTTCCTGAGTGTGACGTATGCATACTCCGCACGCATAGCGACATGGGTGTAGCTCGAATGTGGGGCCTCTCAAGACTGGATAAAGTACGTTTAGAGCGCGTACACGCAGCCCCGTCGGTTGGCAATGCATGAGCATAGCGCTGTATCGCAGTGTTGACCGTTGATCAACTGCCCGGATATGTCGACGTGCACAACCGACTTTGAGCTTCGCACTGCAAGGTTCTCAGATCTTTCTTCGATAGCGACGGTATGGGCAGCGGCATTCTTTGACGATGAGATCATCGGCGTGATCATGCATCCGCACCGCAAGGAGTATCCGGACGATGTATACTGGTTCTTGCTGCGCGGTATCCGAGAACGGTTTTGGGACTGGCGACATCGATTCCTGGTCGTGACAGACGATGAGAAGGTCGTTGGTGCCGCAGATTGGAGGAGGCTAGGAAAAGGCGGAGAAGGCATGGGTTTGGGGCGAACAGATCCACGTATGTCCATCAAAGTATTCCGCACAGCCTATGAGCGCGCAGCTGGCCCTATCTGACCTCTCTGTTCGCAGGTAATCTCATCGCGTCGGTCGTGAATACATACCACTCCGTGTCTGTAGCGCTCTTCCCCAATCGCGCGGCTGATCCTACGCGCACATCCTTCCTCGACACCGCTGTCGCGAACTCTGAAAAGTACTGGACTGGCCATCGCACTGAGTGCTGGGACTTGCACGTATGTGGTGTACACCCAGACTATCAAGGTAAAGGTATTGGAAAGCTGTTAGCCACGTGGGGTGTACTCGAAGCGCAGAAGGAAGATGACGGGGTTGTGGCTAGTGTCTTGTGTGGAGAAAAGAATAGAGAATTTTATGCGAAGGCTGGTATGGGTGTTCAGGTTTCGGAACCGAAGGGCGATGCAGGCGGCATCGCGTTGTTCACGAGGTAGATCGCGCGGGCGACGTGGGTCAGCCAATGAGCATTGCCGGAGCTGTGCCGGCGGCATCGCGTCTCTCGTGACGCGTCTGCGACTACTTTGTCTACCTCCCCATCACGGTAGCGCTTTCCTTCATCACATTCATCTCTTGCCCATCGTTAATCGTTCCTTGTGAATCGATGAGACAGCACGCAGCACCGCAATGAAGATGAGAAGGAATGACCGAAAATGCCGACCGCGCGGACCGAGCGTGACTGCATGGCAGCAACACATAGCTGCTGCTACCCGCCGTATTGGATGACTTTCAAACCATGAACCCTTCTCCTCCATCAATCACTCCTATCCGAGGATACACAATATGAGTTCCGCTATTACATTCGCTGCGGGTGTCGTGCTCCACGCTACTGTCTTGGCCAGGCATCGCGAATGGGACCGCCATTCAGCCGCCATCTTATCCTCAGCATGTGTCCTCTTCGCAGCTACAGTCGTAGCAGTTGCTGTTATTCGGAATGTTTCCTGGGTCTCTTCTTTCGCTTGCGTGGGCGATGTGACCACGTCCTTCGTCAGCGGCCTTCTCAGTTCTATGATAGTGTATCGACGATGGCTACACCCTCTCAGATCCTTTCCAGGGCCTATAACTGCACGGAACACTAGCCTATGGATCATCAAGCAAAACGTCCCTGATCTCGACTTATACGTCAAGATGCGCAGCTTGCATGATCGATATGGCGACTTTGTGCGAATAAGTAGGTTTGGGGAGTATTTAGACGAGTGCGTCGTTGACCTGGTCTAGGGCCACGCGAGATCTCGATCTGCCATCCTGATGCGATAGCGGACGTACACGGACCGAGGAGCAAGATCCTGAAAGGCGAATTCTACGATCAGACCCATCCATTTCATAGCCTCCAATTCATCCGCGATCCGAACCTCCATAAGGAACAGCGTCGGTACTGGGACAGAGCTTTCCATAGACCAGGTCAGTGATCTCCGCTTTCGTTTGCTGCCAAGCAACCAAGGTCGAGCATACACCTCCTTCTGTCATTTCTAGTTCCGCACGATCAACGTCACCAGCTAGCACGATGGAATGTTAGACTACCACAGCTAACAGCTGTAGCACTGCTGGGATATGTGCCACGACTTATACGACACTATCGAATCACTGCCAGTATACTTACGAGTCATGCGGCATCACGAAAGCCGATCGACGCCAGCGGTGCCTTTTTAGACCTATTCTTTGATGTCATATCGGACTTGACGTTTGGTCAGTCCTTCGATACACAGACCACGAAGCAGCGAAGTCCGATCATGGCAGAGTTCCTCAGCAAGCAGAAAGTACTTGGCTTCGCCTTGCTGAACATGCCTCTGCTCCACCTCGCTAAGAATCTGCACACATCCACAAGGAAGCAGAAGCCCTGGGAACGTTGGTATGATGAAGCATTGAAGGCCCGCAGTAAGGTAAGTCCGCCAAGCTCTGACCAACTTTCGATCTTGATGCTCATATGCGAAGAAAACTGTTTCGACTTCGGACATATACACATACCTGCCGCAATCTGAGCTCTTCAACGGCAACGCTCTCAGAGAGGCCAAGTTGGCTATCGTTGCTGGCGCTGATACAAACGCTATCACGATGTCGAACATTTGCTATCTACTGTGCCGCCATCCTGGGTACCAGGCGAAGCTCCACTATGAGTTGTCAGCCTTACATTCTCTTTTCCCCGGCAACGATGATCTGACGAACAAACCTTGCTTGGCTGGCATCATCAATGAAGCATTGAGATTGCATCCGCCCGTGCCCTCCGGTCTTCAGCGTGTAACACCCGCAGAGGGCGCAGTCATCGCCGGCCGACACATACCGGGCCATATGAATGTCACAACGCCGACGTACGCACTACATCGAGGTAGTGATCTCTCTCTCTTGTTGCAGCTTGAGCTGACCTTTCAGATGCACGCGCGTTCGTTCGACCAAACGAGTTCATTCCCGAACGCTGGTACTCCCGTCCCGACCTCATCCTTCGCAGAGACGCATTCGTTCCATTTGGCTACGGCGTGTACAACTGTGCGGGCAAGCCATTGGCCATGTTACAGTTGCGCATGGTCCTTGCCATGATCTCTCGACGGTTTATCATGTCATTTGCTCCTGGCCAGGAAGCTCTATGCCAGTACTTCATCGATCATCAAGCCGACTGCTTCACGCTCCACCTTGAGCCCCTTCCTTTGCTGTTCGAACGAAGAGGCGATTGGAACGAAGAGGCGTGTGAGTAATACCAAGGTGGATCTTTTATCGCGATGTGGCTGGCACATGACCGCATGCTACAGCGGCGAAGATGGAACATTGCTACTGCAGTTTGCTGATAGGTCTCAAACATCCTCCCTCAACCTCCGTAGTTGTAGGTATTCACATGGATATTATTGAGCTATCAGAACTGTAAGTGAAATGAGATATGGGCGGCGAGCGAAAGCAACCACCCGAATGACCCTGAATCACCAGTTTTGCTCCCCTATGGTTCGCTTCCAACCCACACCCCATTCGCTACCACTGAATCACAGCACCCCATTTTCCCCCCGCTTTGACTTCAGCCGGACGAGCCGACATTATGGGCTTCATGAAGCAAGGCAGCCATCGTCCCCTCGGCAGGCGCCGCACTCTGCACGACTTGCGACATGCAGCGCGCAGCCCTAAGCAACCTGCGAATTCCGATCAGACATTAGTGCAAACAACAGACGCCTCACAGGCTCACGACGCCACGTCGCGACTGAAGAAACGTGCAAGCACCTTCGGCATCAAAAATGCGCTCACCAAACTACGCATCATCAAAAGCAGCGCTGCCCCCACGCCGCCAATCTGGACCCAGTATGAGCTTGTTAAACGTATAGGCTCCGGTGGAAACGGCCTCGTAGATCTCTGCTTCGACACATCAGCCGACATCCTCGTCGCAGTAAAGACTCTGACACTGCCAAACCCCGCCGCACCTCTAGCAGAAGCAACGATTCTCCAAAACCTCGGCCGCCACGGTAACATCATCCGATACTATAACAGTGTCCTGAGTCCACCGCATCCTTCTCGTCTACAATTGATCTTCGAATACTGTCCTAGAGGCGATCTACTGGATTACCTGGATACTTTAGATGGCCCCATCCCTGAACTATTCCTTTGGCATGTCTTCAAGCATGTTGCTTGTGGTCTTGCTTTCCTGCACAGCCGCGGCGTGGTGCATGGCGATATAAAGCCCGCGAATATCCTCCTCACCGCGGCGCGAGAAGGCGAGCGTTTCTCGTTACCCAAGATCGCAGACTTCGGCGCTGCGTCATGTAGTCCGCCACCGGAAATCCCACGAGGACACCTAGGTACACCGTCCTTCCAACCACCTGAAGCAGACCATCGTCACGGACCCGAATCCGATATTTGGTCGTTGGGATGCATGATCCATGAACTGATACTGGGTCGTGTACCTATGCAGAAAGTTCGAGAGCTGGAGACCGATGCCGAGACTTGGTTTGAGGGGAGCGGACGACGGATACCGGATGGTGTCGTTGAGTCTAGTCTCTATAAGGAGTTCTGTTACTACCAGGCTTGCCACGTCGTTGAACGCACACGCATTGATTGCCCATCTGACTATACAACGAAAGTATACAGTACCCTGCTAAACCACTTCATGATGCGAGCGCTTGACCTCGACTGGGAGAACCGCATCACGGCCAGCCAACTGTACGACCTATTACCTAAGCTCGAAGCCATTGTGCAAGATATCCACATCCTGGGCAACCCTGATCTTCTCGAAAGCTTCGAGGACCGAGGGGACATGAATGGTCAAGAGGCCGTATGCATCACCGACTCCCAGATGCTCCGACAACTGTTCGAGAGATTGGCACGGCATGCAGACTGGGCGAGCCATCAGGAGATGCGGAAGAGAGGGATGCAATTGCTGTTTGTTATGGAGGAAGAGGATCATTTTGCGATTTTCAGGGCGCTGAGGGATGTAAGGGGCTTTTGGGGTATGGAATGGTGAGGTGGGATGGGTGGGTAGCAGGGGGAGATGCGAATCTATGCAAACGTGGTTTCGACTCAAGCTACGAAGTCTGACTGCTGAGGGTGTACAGGGCCAACCAAGCCGTCCCACGAATCGCGATATCACTATTGATGGGCCTGAATTATCGAATTGATGATGTACGTTATCAGGTTATCATGCCGCGGTGTCGCAATTCAAAATGCCGTGAACAAAAAGATTAGCTCAGCGGATATCAGTAACATTGTTTGGCTCATCCGACCTGTAGCAATGATCATCGCGAAGCCAATCGCAGATTTAACTGATTTCGGTCACTCCCTAGACTTCTCTCGCTCCAAGTGTCTATAATCATCCATACCCGCAGCCACCCACCCCTCAAGGCCCCTCTTCCTCCCCATACCCCTCCCTCCATTTCCGATCCATAAACCGCACTTCAACCTCGCCCTTCAGACCCCCCTAATAACCCCCGTCGACCTATCCAGCGTTTCGTGTAACCAAAAACTTAAACAGGATTGATCGAGAGTACGGATCTCATATAATTTTCTCATCATTCGATGCCAAATCATCTGATCACCAGCCAAAGTAGCCCTGAATCAGTGGCCTTCACAACAAGTCCACCGATGTCGGCTCGACACTCTCATGCATATTTTAGGCTTGTCTTTACTTTTCTTATAGGATTATCGCAGTCACAGTAGTAGTGGTGTAGCCGTGATATGAAAGCCAGACAAGGGACCATCTACATTCGCTGCTCTAGCTTGCACGTAACTATCTTCGAACTTCGGTGAATCTTCAGTTGTTATGAGCAGGATCCTTCTTTCTCTTTGTATCTAAGTGCCGGCGTCAATGTCGTGGTGTCGTTACCCACTTGGCGCATTGGCGCGGATTGCTGGACGCTGATTTGCATGTTCTTGCCGAACCCTTTCCGCCGCATTGCGGGAGCTGCGAGTAGAGTCGTTCTGCAGCTTCTGTACTAATACCACGGTCTTCGCAGGTTGTTAAAAAAAATACAAGAGTACAGCTGAGACTAATCATGTCGGGTAACCCGATAGTTCGGACAATGGGGTATATTCATGACTTCGTGCCGCCCAGCAACTACCTCATAACCGGCGGTCTTGCCTCTTTATTGAACGCCATCCTGCTGCAAAGCCATTCGACCGCCTCTTGCACACCAGTCCCTGTGAGAGCACTGCACGGCAGCACTCTACTGTCTCTGACATTTCCACCCTTCTCTCCCTCAAATACTCTTCTCACGAAGCCCTCTTTAATCCTCACGACTTCGACGCAGTCTTCGCGGTCTTGTTTGTTCGCCAGTATCAATATCGGCACGCCGCTGGCATCCTCGTTCGCAAGCACGCTTTCCAAAACCAACTTGCACTCGTCCAACCGCCCAATGTCTTCCATGCTTGCTGCATTGTTCGCGCTCATATCGGCTAGCGTGGCGTTGCCTACATCGCTGCTGTCTATAACGAAGACGATGGCGTGGCAGCTGCTATAGTATGATTGCCAGAGCCCGCGCAAGCTATGTTGGCCGCCGACGTCCCATATCTTGAGGTAGATGGGCGGATTTGGAGGTGGGAGGGCGATGGTGGCGACGTTTTGGCCGACGGTGGGGACGGTCTTGAGGTTGGGGTGCGAGGCCGAGTAGGTGCCTTTTATTTGCTCGAGGAGTGTCGTCTTGCCGGCATTGTCGAGGCCTAGGAGGAGGACGGAGTACTCTGCGATACGTTAGTTGCAGTGCGCTGGATGCGTCGAAGGTTGGGATGCGTACCTTCCTTACTTGTCGCATGAAGATATATCGACTTGAACAGGTGATACATGGTTTGCGCGACGCGTTATGTCGACGCGCGCTTCACATGTCGGCGAGTGAGGGTCTAAGGCGCGCGGTTGATGGGGAACGTGTCATACCGTTGTTATCGATAAGCCCCAGGCAGATATATTTCGAATTGCGATCCTGGTGGTCCCACCTACAACCATTTCCCGACCACCAATTACGACATTTGCAAGGGCGAGCAAGGCAGTGTGAGTATTGACGATTTCCGAGACATAGACCTATGCTAACAGCCCCAGGAACCCACGGGCGAGCCAAGCAGTGAACCCAAGCTTAACCGAAAAACTCATCTTTTCGACCTCCAAAAGCCACCATGTCTACGCCATCCGCAGCCTGGCCCATCGCCGACACCACCCTAGCCGAAAAGCTTCTGGACCTGATCCAACAAGCAACCCACTACCACCAAATCTCCAAGGGCGCCAATGAAGCAACTAAAACGTTGAACCGAGGAACCTCCGAGCTCATCATCATGGCTAGCGACGCCGAGCCCCTCGCCATTACACTTCATCTTCCACTCTTGTGTGAAGACAAGAACGTGCCGTTCGTCTATGTGCCCAGTAAATTGGCACTGGGACGGGCTTGTGGCGTTGGTCGCTCGGTTGTGGCTGTCAGCCTCACCAGCAATGAGGCGAGCGATTTGATGGGACAGATCAGGGCTATGAAGGATGCGGTGGAGAGGATTGCGATTTGACGATGAAGAGCGGGTCTGGAAATGGCTTGGCTCTGAGTTATTGAATCCTGGTACTGGGTTGGGATGGAGTTGGGGGTGAACGACAAGGTCTGCGCGACGCGAGACGCATGGTAGCTCCGGAATACACTCTTTAGACATAGTAATGCCAACTCTTTGCCCGGAAGCCGAGTCTATGAATGGCGTCAATGTATTCTTGCGGGCTCGTTATGTCCTGTACCTCTCCGCTCCGTTATGGATCGATGTTGGCACACCATCAGATAGATCGTGGGGAGAAAGGACGTGATCGGATAGTAGCACGCAATGAGAGCTATAGCACATTGAACAGGGTAGAAAATTAAAAAGAGCTCTGCCGTCTACACTCGTATCACATCCAAAATCCAACAAGATGCCGAGGCAAGGTAGGCTTCCGAGTAGATTTTCAATCTTTCCTCATCAACTCTCAACCACTTTGTAGCCCTCAGGGTTCTTTTCGACAAGCCACGCCCATGTCGCCTCATCTCCGAGGTCATCACGCACTGCCTTCCAATCGTCATCTGGTCTTTCAGAAGGCTTGCCGGTTTGCGGATCGTTGTAATAGTCCTCCCAACGCTGCAACAGGTCCAAGATTCTTGAAAAATCTCCACGTTTCTTTATTCTGAACAGTAATAAATTTTCCACTTGGACCCATTTGTCTTTATCATAAACATCCTGGCGAGGTAGTTTGCCGCTCTCATTCCTGATTGTTGGGTTGGCGCCAGTCCTGAGCAGAACCTGGATCATCTCATAGCTGTTATAAGATGATGGGCCTCTTGACTGGATTGTGCTGCACATAGTACGCAAGCTGGCGGATGCCACGTTGCCTTTAGTGTGGGCGGCCAATAGCATGAAGAGAGTTATCCCCCCGTACCGTGCGCCCCGTGCTACCCACCACAAATCCGTATCTTCCACGCAACTCCCGTGCTCCAACAGAAGCTCAATTATCGCTATGTATTGGAGACTTCGCACTTTGGATATTTCTCCTTCCCAAATCCTTCTCACTTCTCTTTGCCAGCAGCCCTTTATCGCACGCTTCAGAAGTGTATCTTTATTCCCGTCCTTCACGTTGAGCATGCGCTGCAACACTACGTTATCTGTTTCTGACTTGATCAGGTTTTCTAAATCTTCCATGCACGCAACTTGACACGCTTTCGCCGTCTTGGACCAGTCACATCCACCTCGACGGATTAATGCCTTCTTGATTCGGTCTTTCTGTAGTCCGACTCGACTTTGCTGTAATTCGAGTTCTTGAATCTGTACACGGTCCTCGAAGCATGAGTCCAGTATGCTTTTGTCGAGGTGCGGCGGCACAGCATCAGTTACTTCGTCATCGATTGGTATATCAAAGGTCAGGATGGAGTCCAAATCTATAGGCTCAAACGTGTATCCGGCTTGTAGAATATGCTCCCACATGCTGCCTTCTTCATCGTGACAAGATCCTGGACGAACCGAGTACTCTATCGAAACCCGAAGAATTGCAAGGGCGTTCATATCCAGGGCTAGTAGAAGCTCCAGAGTTTCGGTATTGTCAACTGCAGCGGAACCCATGACTCTCTCGATCAACCCAACATTCCGATTCGTTAACTCGTCTTGACGATTGTCCAGAATGACTTCTGTATCATAAACGTCCAACTGCGCTTTCCAAGCCAGTTCGAAGATCCTAGGGGCGCTTTTATGTCTTTTTGTTATGACTATTGGATCAATCAGCTCGTAAGCGGCTCTTGGTTTACGCTCTTGTATAGCAAAGTGGAGTAGTGAGACACTTCTCAGTCCTAATTGTATCTCCAGTATTCTCCATGCAGGCCACAAATCCTGCAGAATACTCAAAACACCCAGCCTCTGTCCAAGAATAGCCAGCTCAAAGGCTTGACCTACAACATCTCGGGTTTCTGTCCTGGTTTGTGGGAGACGTTCCATGATCCAGCGAACAGCCTTGAGTGTGCCGTTTTTGCATGCGATCTCTAATGGAGTTTCAGAGGCTGAGTTTTTGAGCAGCAGAGAGTCGTGAGTAACTGAGTCCTTGGTGAATTTGAAGCGTGTCCTCATCAGGATATCTATGTTGTTGTTGTGAGCAGCCAGATGAATGGGATAGTCGCCATCGTCATTGGGTTCGTCCAATGGAGCCCCTCGATCCAGACAATCGAGGACTGTATCAGGCTCATACGAATCAAATCCATCCATTAGTTCCTCATGGAGCTGTTTCCGTACTTTTGGTGTCTGTTGAAGAGGTGGATCCAGGATTGCTTGTAGCATACTTTGGTCCACCAAGAGATGGTCCGGGTAGTCTAGTCCGTGACTGAAAGGCCATGATTGCTTGATCCAAGTACATGCCCGCCAGGGCCATCTTAACCAGCCTTGTTGGGGATAGGCATGGCTGATTGATCGCGCACTGACCGCGGAAGTCCGCCCATCGTCATCCGTGCTCTCAGCAACAAATATCCTGCAGATTGCGTATGCGACATGACCGATGGCAAAGACGGCGATGATAGCGTTGGCACTTTGACCCCATTCGCCTATCAAACTGTCCCATGATCTATTGATAGTATCTGTTCCTCGTAGGACGTTGAAAATCGAAAGTCCATGGAGTAGCACGAACGGCCAATAGATCAAATAGCTTGTGGCTACAGTGGCGGGTAAGGACCCCCAAAGAGCTGTGGCCTTGACACGCTCACTTCGAGCAGAGTTGTGCTTGTTCTCGATCTTGTTCAGGCTCGACGTGAGACGGAAGGCTACCGGGCACGGAAGTATCGATGCCACAATGCGGAACGAATAGTATATCCAGTATGCTGTCGAATAGTGCTGGGACGACAACTGATCCCATGTAGAGGCCCCGCATTGGAACTTGTGACGCCGTGTGTATTCGCCGAAAGCTACTCCCTGCACAACGTATCCAAATATCTGCATCACAAATCCAAAGCTGACTAGCTTCCGTGCAGCAAGTACGTCCTTATCTGAAAAGGCCATCGATATCGAAGCACTGACCGCGTCAATACTTGAGAGAGCAATGACAAGCTCTTGACTGTTTAATGCCGATTTCCCCTTAAGGAGATTAACTGCAAGATATGATAAATCTGCGTTTGATCAGCAAATCGAAATGTGGTCTCTATTCTTTTGAACCTACTTGCACACTGAGCCATGCAAAGTTCTTTCGCACCGGAAGTATGTACCGTGAAGTGACCTAGAATTAGTACCACAAGGAGTACAAGACAAGGCAGAAAAAGGCCAAGCAGAACACCAATACCTCCCACATCCGGATTGATTTCTTGATGTTCTCGTGAACAGGCTTCAGACACAGGTTTACCAAAGATCGGTACAAGAACCAAGGCAAGTGCGCCCAGTATCGAGCAGACGACTGCTATCGCTCGAAGGAGATGAGCACGCTTCCTTGATGTGGTTTCTGCGATGGTTCCGCCTCGTAGACGTATCCTGTCCAGGTAAAAAAGCTGAATGGCGTAGACAAATGCACAAACGCTGGTAGCTATGAGGAAGATATTCAGGAGGTCCATGTTCCGGTACGGTTGGGACGACAGAAGCTGATGAGATACGTCAGGGGGTGACTTCGCCAGCGGAAACCAGGCCTGAGATGCGGGCGGCCAGGAGGGCAGCCTTTTCAAGCATGTTCTAGGTTCGGGTCGAGAGTGCGGCTGAAGCTCGCGTTGGGCAGTTTGGCACTGCCCCAGATGTGGCTGCGTCTATGGCTGAACCAGTGCATTGCGCTACTGGCACCAGGCGGGGCCAGATTTTGGTTGATGTTGCTGAACACGCACTATTAACTGTTGACACCTGGATACATCCCAAGGCAACGTATTCCTCTACCTAGATAGAGATAGAAAGTCCGATCATACATCGATGTCTTGTGAACTGCAACACGACTGGTATACATGCCTAGTGCCGGATGAGGGGTTCGCGGCTCCACCTGGGCAGGGCTGCAGCATCATAGACGATGAGGCGGACTAGTGCCGTAGCTTCTACAGTGTTACAGTACGAAAAGGTGCTGCATCTCGATTAATGATCAGGCGAACCGATTCTGTACAGTAGAACCAGATGCCGATGGAATATTCGCCAGCTCAAGGGTGGTACACGTGCCCGAAGACACGCATGTGACATCCATATATTCGAGCTTGGCTGAACGCTAACCTTTGATGACACTAGTGCGTGGAGCCGCATGCAGGCGTGGATATCGAAATGGTCGTCGTTCTAGACTGCAAAGGACCTAGCTATCTGGGCGTTCGCGCCTTGTTCTAGCAGCAGCAGATGTCTTTTCTTATGTCGTGTGTCTTGGGTGGGTGTGGGATTGGGACGTTGGGGTGCAGGAGACTACCTTAGTACTACTTCTCCAGCCACAGCTCAGATGACATCATGCTTGCACCGCCACGCTCTGCATCGTAGAATAGTACTAACAGCGACCGTCATTCTAGGCGATTCTTGACGTTGACATTCAGTTGCCGCGGAAGCCGTGAATTAGGTGCAGCTTGCCTGGGCAGTGGTTATCTTATCTGGAGCAGGGTGAGACATTGGGCGCTAAAGTCATGGATCGCCGGGGAATGGGACGTCTAACAGGGTCATCTGCAGCTTTCTCCCACCCACACGCACACTCCAGAGGGGCACGACGAGCGCGGTAATGCATCTTTGCCCTTGCCTAATAGCTGTCATTGTACGGCGGCAGAATCGTGACTTGTGCGGAGAGCCACGTAGTTTGAGCATTTGAGCTGTGACCACAGCAGCTCCCAAAACAAGGTTGAACTACAGATAGTCTGACAGCCTGCCCTTGCCCAACCTCACAGCGCCCTCGCACAGCGACACTACCATGGAAGATCGCACGCCCGCCGCGGGTAAAGCGAAGCCGTCGCCCGACACGTCGCGCCGCAGCAGCACCTATGGCACCGGCAGCGACACGCCCACCCAGAGCGCGACGCCCAGCGACTCGGCGCGCCGACGGCCGCAAGCTGCGATGCAGCCCTCTGGCTATGGTACGCGCATCATCTGGCGGCCCGGGGAGGATATCACGATACTAACGCCACTGCAGGCTCCATCACGTCCGGCATCGAGCGCCGCCAGCAGGCCGCCGCGACGGCGCACGAAAGCTCGACCAAGCCCAAGAAGCCGCCCATGAGCCGGCGCGCTACGTCGTCGAAATGGCCGCAGAAGGGGCAGGAGTTCAGTGTCGACGACGCCGAAGAGGAGGTGGAGCTGGACCAGGCCCAGCAAGACCAGCAGAAGAAGCAGCGACAGACACTGCGCCGCAAGCCCTCGACCGTCCGCCGCCGCACCGCTGCGCCCCCGCCCAACCTAGCCACCATCGACTCGACCGAAGACGACGAGGTCGAGCAGGAGAACGCCGGCCCTCCGACCGGCTCTGATGCCGACGCGACGCCCTCGTCTAGCGAGGAGACGGTACAAGCTGAGGAGGAGGAGAGCGGAGGCGGCGATGAAGATGACGACCTGAGCGACGCCGAGAGCTTCACGCTGCGCGACCGCCAGGATGCCATCAACGTCACACATCCATTCGGTATCAGGATCTGGAAGCCCGCGCTTTACAAGAAGGGTCGTTCGGTCCAACGCAACGCCGAAGAAGACATCCACTCGTCCCCGGGCCTCTTTGTCAGCCGATGGCTGCTTCTCTTCAACCTCGTATGGACCCTCGTATTCGGATGGTGGCTAGCTGCTGTTGCCACGGTGGGCGGTCTGCTCTGCGCGCTCCTGGGCTTCAACGAGAGCTGCAAGGAGTACTCCCACTTGCTTTTCGCTCTGGCCGGCTACCTCTTCTACCCCTTCGGCAAATACGTCAAGCTCATGCAGGACGAAGCCTACATCGAAGAGGACGAAGGCGAGGGTCGCAGCATCAGCGAATACGAGCAGTGGCAGAGCGGCGACATCGAAGAAGGACGCCTTTTCTTCGGTCCAACAACCGGCACAAGCTCCTTGATCGGCCGCAGACGCAACAGCGTAGATTCCACAGGTGGAGAGACGACAAGCCTCCTCGGTAGAGACGGACGTGCCAACGTCAACCACACCGACACGGCCAACACTAAGAGGAGGCTTTTTGGCCGTGGCAAGTGGAACCTTGGCCGCGTCGTCTTCTTCCTGTTCTTCTACGGCTTCCTCACACCCTCGTTGTTCCTCGTCTCGGCTCTGTGCTGGTTCCTCGTCTTCACCATCCCCATGGGCAAGACTACCCTGCTGCTGTTCGACCATCTGCGACGCCATCCCCTGGCGCTCTCGTTCCACTCCGACAACGGCAACGTGCGCCGCCCCGGAGAATCGTCCTCGATTCTGCTCTGTACCTACCGCGCAGTCGGTATCAAGTACTGGAAGTACACCATTGACGGAACCAACATCTTCCTGATCAATCTCCTTGGCCTGGTCGCCTTCACCATCTTCGACTACTTCGTCTTGGCCGAAGCTTTGGAGATGAAGTTCTGGCTGACTGACCAGTTCTTGTTGTTCTCCCTAGCACTGCTGTCAATTATTCCGTTGGCATACTTCATTGGTCAGGCTGTAGCTTCCATCTCAGCTCAGTCCTCCATGGGTGTTGGCGCTACTATCAACGCTTTCTTCTCTACTGTCGTCGAAGTCTTTCTGTACTGCGTGGCCCTCAAACAAGGCAAAGCTCAACTCGTCGAAGGTAGTATCATCGGCAGTATCTTTGCAGGTATACTGTTCCTACCAGGACTGTCTATGTGCTTTGGCGCTCTCAAGCGTAAGACTCAGCGTTTCAATGTGCGATCCGCTGGTGTCACTTCAACCATGCTGCTATTCGCCGTTATTGGCGCTTTCGGTCCGACATTGTTCTACCAGATCTATGGAAGCGTGAGTATAGCCCCATTGCACGTCGATCCTATGCTAACCAAAACCAGCATGAACTCAACTGCCACTCATGCGTGCACTCTAATCACCACGTTCCCCTTGAGCGAGACTGCCGTAGATGTTACTACTCACAAACACCAGCACTCAATGATCGCTTCTACAACGAAGCTGTGAAGCCTTATACCTGGTTCGCGGCTGCTCTCCTGTTCTTCTCCTATATCATTGGTCTTCTGTTCACCCTTCGTACCCATGCCGCGACAATTTGGACAGAGCCAGATGCTCAAGAGAAGAAGATACTCGAGATGAGCGCCAGTAGTCTCAGTCAAAGCGGGCACATGGACTTCCCACATGCTTCTTTCGTCAGGCAAGCGACAGGAAATTCTATATCACGTGCGCACATACGCGACAGCCAGCTGTACAAGCGCATGGTTAGCCAGACTTTGCAAGAAGTTGGGCTTGGTCCTGAGCACACTGCATCAGATACCGGGCGGCCTGGATCCAAATCGGATAGCAATACACCACACATGGTACCGCCGAAAGAAAGTGACGCTGTCTCACATCACTCCTTCCACGTTGAGGGACTTACAGATGATGCTGCAGAGTCACTTGCGCGACAAATCACCGAGATCGCGGCGACGACGACCGCTTTGGCGACGCGTGACGTTACCAGGGCTCCACGCAAGGCAGCGCAACTCGCCCATACATCTACCAAAGCGCATGCAGAACGCCCCGCTCACACGCGAACGAACACAGAAGCTGCACCCGAGGAGCTTGATACAGCGACTGGACATGCCTCTGGTGGGCACGATGCACCAAACTGGAGCCGTCAAAAGAGTGCTGCTATCCTGCTGACTGCGACTGTCGCATATGCCATCATCGCAGAGATTCTCGTCAACACTGTTGATGGTGTTCTTGAGGGCTCTGACATTGACGAGAAGTTCTTGGGTATCACGCTCTTCGCACTGGTTCCCAACACGACTGAGTTCCTCAACGCCATCTCGTTTGCCATGAACGGCAACATTGCACTTTCCATGGAGATCGGTTCCGCATACGCTCTCCAAGTGTGTCTCCTCCAGATTCCGGCTTTGGTGTTTTACAGTGCCATTCACACTGGGTACATTCCCGCTCAGGACGTTGCCAGCCAGACATTCACTCTCATCTTCCCACAGTGGGACATGGTCACCGTCATCCTCTGCGTCTTTCTCTTGTCGTACATGTACGGCGAGGGTAAGAGCAACTACTTCAAGGGCTCTATTCTTATCTTGTCGTATCTTGTCGTCATTGCTGGATTCTACCTGTCCGGATTCAACGACTTCCAGAAGATGGGCGTCGATCCGATGGACACTCTGGCGCTTGGGGGTTTGGTGGAGCAGCAGGTGCAGTCTATGACATTCAAGACACCTGGAAGAGGTCGCAGTGGCGTGGCGTACTGAAAAGCTTTATTGTGATATTGAGGTATGGAGGGGGATGTTAGAAGAATGTTGATGAGTGTTTGCAATGGGCAGGTTTCTGCACAAAAGGTACATAGCGCAGGCGTTTGAGGAAAACTTTATATTGGGAATAATTAGTTATGAAACGCACAAATAGTGGCACGACTGCCACGTAATCTGACATGAAGATGCTCTGTTGATCTGTGAAGTATAATTCATGTTGGGCTGCACGCAGGTCGAGCGGTGATTGATGATCAGCCCATGCAGCGTGAAATATTCCTCCGGTGCGGCACCAGAGAAAGCATATGCATGAGCTCCTAACTCGGACTGCTGACAGAAACTTGATCAGGATGTGCTCGAACATCGTGTTTCGCATAGTCGTCTACGTGAAGCCTATAGCTTCAGAGAAACATGAAGTCGGTCCGTGAGCGCTGCTCAGCCATGCAGGTGACGACGGCCTCACAGCATCCTGCGATGGGCGTGCGAAGTCGAGATGCGCGGAGTGAGGCGGGTATATCTTACAGGTCACGATGCGACGAAGTCCGCAAGTCGCAGCGCATGGAGTGGGTCCCCCGGGCGATCCAACGTGGGAGGATTGGAGAGGAGGGTGCGCGCACATGGTGCGGCAGTCTCGGAGTGGCAGATTACAGTGGGACGCCGGCGTCAGCGGGCGTGTGAAGATCAATCGATACGCCATGGCCGTCCGCGCCTCTCCGTCGAGGCTTCAATCGACCCTCTCTGCCCCGTCTATTTCTATGTCGCGGTTTGGTGTTCGCGCGCGATATGGTAGTGCGCAGTCGCGGGATTTGCTTTGTTGTATACTCGCTTTGAACCGCCTGGGCTTTGCCAAAGACGCGCGACAGCGGAAGCCACACCCCGCGCTCGAGATCTTCTCTCCATGAGGCGTCGGGCCTGGTGTGCTGGTCATCGATAAGGCCGACGGTCAGCCGTTCGCTGCTGAGCGAGCATTATTGCTACCCAGTGTTGCATCATACACAGCATAGACCCTGAGATGCTGCTCGTGCGACCGCGCCGCCTGCCGTCGCGATTGGCGTGGCTCTTGTTCGCAACCGTCGCCACGGCCACGATATCCTCGTCTAACACGTCTACCGCGCGTACAAATCTCTACGACGGCACTCTGCCGCTCACTACCGCTCAGGGTGACGACGGGACCAGGATAGCCGACCTGATCCCATTGACTAAGGATGCCGCCAACTCAGTTCGTCAAACACTATTCGTCGCATCGCCTTCATGCACTGACAAAGCACTAGGTCCAGGGCAATCTGTACAATACCAACTACACCAGCGTCGTCGGCATCTCCAATGACGAAATCGCATACATCAGCTGCGACACCACCGACTACAACGGTTACGACACTGCGCAGGGCGTCTTCGAACAGACCTACTTGCAAGGCAACATCTCGGCAGTTATACTGTATAGCAGGACGTCGGACTACTGCAACTACACTCAGGACAAGACACAGGTCATGATGGACGAGTTCGCCATATACTCGATGACGAACAGAGCAGACTCGGCAAAGGTGCGTAACGACATCATCGACATGCCGGCAGCCATGAAATACTTCGTTCAAGTCAAGGCGCGGGATGAGGGGAACAACGACTCCGGCAACGGCCAATACCAGCAGAATCCGTTGGGACCATCTCCTTCGACAGCCGTCGCCATGATCATTCTATACAGTATCACCGGCATCATCACAGCCTTATTCCTCGTCATCATCATCACCGGCGCCGTGCGCGCGCATCGCCACCCAGAGCGATACGGGCCTCGAAACGTACTCGGACGACCGAGGCAAAGCAGAGCAAGGGGATTGGGGCGAGCTATACTGGATACCATACCCATCGTCAAATTTGGCGAGAAGGAGCCGGCGAAACCCGCTGATGTCGAACTGGGCTCGACGGCAGAAACACGGGATGTGAATGGCGTAAACACGGACACGGAAGCGCAAGCGAGCGGAGGAACAGCTGCGACCCAGCACGATACGGCTCCACATTCTGTGCCTGGTGCGACTGAGACAGCACAGGTCGTAACATCGGACCCCGCGGAAGAGCAGCAATCCGGCATCGCGCCGGCACAGCCGGTTGCCGCAGGTGCGACAGCGGGTACCGACAATGCTTCACCGGATGAAGGCCTGGGTTGCTCGATTTGTACCGAAGACTTCGAAAAGGGCCAGGATCTCCGTGTTCTTCCATGCGACCATAAGTTCCATCCAGAATGTGTGGACCCATGGTTGCTGAATGTGTCCGGCACATGTCCGTTGTGGTAAGTTACTCCTCAACCCCACACGCAAACATTGTACTAACCTTTACTAGCCGGGTCGACCTCCGCCCAGTCAACTCGCGCGATTCCACGGGATCGCAAGAAGATGAGCTCGCTCCCCCTCTCAACCCCGAAGGCGACACATCCCACCGTCGCCGTACCGCGCTCTTTGATATCCTGTCCCTCCGCCAACGCCCGAACGCCTCACCCGAAGAGCGTATTTCTGCTCTACGACGACTACGAGAGCAACGGAGGAACCAAAGTGGTGATGTCGCAACTGGCAGTGCAAATGCGAGTACCGAGGATGTCGATGGCGCGCGCGATAGGAGGAATAGGCGCATCAGTGCCAGACTAAGCGATGTCTTCAGTGGTCGCTCGAGGAGAGATAGAGCTGATGAAAGTTCGGCACAGCAAGGAGGGCTAAGTAGGAATGAAGCGGATGCTGCTCCTGGCGCCAATGGACCAAGCGCTTGAGACGGTGATATGGATTGTATACGAAGATGATGATATCTGTACAGAGTATCTGTATTGGCGTTTGGGCTCTCGCTTTCCCCGGTCAAGGGTTCATAAGCTGGCTGCGCATCGTATGGCGTTGCGGGATACCAGGTTGTCTTGGGTAGCAAGCATTTATCATGCTCCAGAATGCAAAATGCGATTTGTACCACCCGTTCCACTTTCTTCCGGTGTCGTGGTTCTGTGGTTGTGATGCAACTTCTCGGTCGCTTTGTTCCCATCGTGTCTTGAGTAGTACTCGTTGAAAGCTGAACTCCAATCGAGTATAAGTGCATTAAAGTGAAGCACACGAACCTCTTAGTGATACTGCGGTCTCTCGGCTCTGCTACCAGGCTTTCTTGATCACAAGAGGACAGATCAGAAAGTGAGGATACCCATTTCAATACTTGCACGTCCACAGCCACTCCGGGTCTTCACAGCCAGGTTCTTCACAACCTCTTCCATGGTTCATGGTACAATTAGCCGACTCATTATTGTTCAGTACAATCCTATCGACGTATGCAAGCCAATGCATAACATACCGGGAAGAAAATCCTTCTTGGTTTGCCAAGTGCCGAAAGAATCGCGATCAGCACACATGACGCGGTTCCAATGTCAATGTGGCTGTTCACCGGTTCTGGCATGCTTATATGCAGCACACCCGCAAACTGAGCAGCAACACTACCACCCACATACCTCAAACACTACCTTGCAGGCTCTACTCTATCAAACGATGACCACAAATACTCCATCAGAGCCAACCCCATCAGAAGCACCATCACACCCACCCCACACATACGATCGCAACACACCCGACCAACAAGAAATCACCGCAATCCTTGCCAATTTTAACAAAGATCCTCTTGAACTGAGCGTCATCTCCTTGGGCAAAGATGGAGTCCTGCGAAATCTATCGGCGGACCGCGCCGTTCTCGATGCTGTGGGACTGAGCCCGCGGCTGGTGAAAGCGTTTCTGGATCGCGTGCCTCCAGAGTATCGCGCGCTCACGCCAGAACTCGAGGATGCTGATGGGTCGGAGGCGACGTATGAGGAAATGTGGCATCCTGAACCTGGGCTACTGCCGCGACCTATGGGCGAGGAGCAGAAGAAGAAGGCGTTGACGAGTTTACAGGAGAATTAGCATCAAAGCGTTCATATGCACGAGAGACCAGATGAAAATATTTATAGTTGGGAAGAACTCAATACTCGTGGATTGAGCCCCCAGGTGCACGCAGTAGACCTGTGATCATTAACATTTCCCGCGACCCGTCAAGGTAAAGGGTGTTTGAATGTATGCCAGGTGATGGGCCAAGCCGCACAGGTGTAGAAGCGGGTGTAAGTAAGCCCGCTTCTCTGTTAAAGCTGCTAAAACTCGAGATAGAGCTAGGCACAGCTAAAAAGAGGCGTCTTATACTCCCTCTAGTAGTAGTAATACGCTATAATAAATTATAAGAGGGCAATAGAAGGGAATTAGAGGTATATAGGCTATTGCTTTGCAAAAATTACACCTTGTAGGGCTACTTTGCGGGAATTAGACATTCTGTATTATATTGTTAGATGCAAATTACATACTAGAGCGTGAAAATGCTTTTAAGGTCTCTATGTGGAAGAAGATCACCTAGGCAAGGATCGTGATTGCCCTGGCCGAGTTCCCACGCATGCGAGGCGCCGTTCTGGGGCTGCTAAGCGATGGGGCCATCCAAGGCTGGAAACGTTATCAAACATATCTACGATCTCCCTGCCTAGTTACTTCCTCCTAGGCCCGCACACCAAAGCTTAGGCCTTAACATTACTACTGATCGTAGACCTTTGATACCTATCGCAAGGCTTGCGCAAAATGCGTTGCATGTTATACACGCACCCGTGGACAACTTCCTTCGCCTGGTGAGGCTCCCGAGGTCTGTGATAAGAAATGGGTGGCGACCTCGGGAAGGCTGAGAGCTGCATAGACAGCAACGACGCGCAGCATGCATGGCATGCATGGGCGACGACCCAATGATACCGTATCCAACGTAAGCTAAACGATATTGTGCGTCCAATAACCCGGGCCCCGGGTCTGGTAGGTTCAGAGAGGCTTTCACACGAACTTGCACAAAGCCCGGAAGCCTGGCCAGGGCAGCCGCGTCCGGACACACGTTCACTGCACAACGTCACATCAAGATCATTCAGAGGATATTGTTCCACTACTATGGCGGTATCGGGCTACATAGGTTCCGCTTGCATACGACTACTTACCACTACCGTCGCTGAAGCGAGTCCGATATCGACGCTGCTCTCGCCAGAGGGGCTAGCTTACTCAAAATCCTGGACTAATCTCAGAAACGAAGCTCGAAATGGCTGTAGGCTTTGTAGGATTCTGAAGGATTACTTGGATCAGGCAGATGAGAGATCTCGAGTCCGACGTGATCGACTCCAGGCCGCCCCCGCCATTATCTTGTATGCGCCAGAAGAGGAAAGAGTCATCCACTTCGTACTACGTCTATCCGGGAACCATATGACGATCAGTGCTCCGAACATCGTCTTTGCAGGCACTGTTCAGTACAGAGCGACAACAAGCTTCGGTAAGGTCGCAGCAGAGGCTCCAGATCATAGCTAATAAGGTACTCGTAGGCGATCCTGCAGCACAGTTCTTGCCACAGGCGACCATCAAGTTGGACCGAGGGGATCGAGCGACTTTCAATGCCATCCGCTCATGGGTCAAAGAGTGTAGCCATCAGCACGATAGTTGCGTGAGTCGCGAATCAGATCTTCCTGCAAGGTTGATAGATCTCTCCTATCTATCGGCCGAGGCCCGATACCTACGACTATACATCCCCAAAGAGAATGAAGGTGGACGCTACGTGGCACTGAGTTACTGTTGGGGCTATTCGCAACCGGTCACCACGAGTGAGAAGAACTTGCAACAGCATTTGCACAAGATCCGATACGACAATCTTCCACAAACACTCCAAGATGCAGTCAAAACGACCAAGGCCTTAGGGATCAAGTATCTCTGGGTCGATGCGTTGTGCATCGTCCAGGATTCGCAGCGCGACAAGCAAACGCAGATGGCAGAGATGGCCAAGATCTACCAAAATGCATTTTTCACAATAGTAGCCGCCTGCTCCACAAGTTCAGCCGAGGGCTTCTTCCAAGTCAGGGATGGTATGCCGCCAGCTCTGGAACTACCAGTAGGTTGTTCGGGCGGAAAGATTGGCAACATTGCTTTGCTGCCATCCTATGAGGGCCTCAGGCACGAACCGCTACACGAAAGAGCCTGGACACTGCAAGAGATCATTCTCTCACGACGACTGTTAATTTTTGGAAAAGACTCCGTTGGATGGAAGTGCGAGCAAATGGACCGCGGAATGCATAGTTGGACTGACTGGAATGGGTACTGTGCATCTACGGGCTTGACAACGATTCGCCTTGCACCGGGCGGCAACATCATACGTCCATCAATGAGCATTTACTCGGCTAACATCAGCTCTTTCAGCAACCCTTCATCGTTGGCTGAGACTCAGCCGTATATCTTTCGACTTTGGAGAGACGTTGTCAAAGACTATTCGACTTGCTCGATGACAAACGAGGGCGACAAACTCAACGCCATAGCTGGGATAGTGGCATACTTTCAAGACGTCATGGGGGGTACGTACCTCGCGGGGCTGTGGAAGAAACATCTGTTGCACGAACTGTGTTGGCAGGTTCGCGACGCGAGGCGGCCAGCAAAGACCAGAGCTCCCTCTTGGTCATGGATGGCCTTGGACGGGCCTGTAGCGTTTCATACAGAGCATTGCGAGTGGTATAGCCCTATGGTCGACGTCCTCTCCTGCACTGTCACACCGGTCTCTCCAACCGCGCCCTTCTCCAGCGTCACCGGTGGAGTCTTGGTATTGGACGGCCATGTCAGCTCAACTCGTCCAAGCGTCTTCGCGACGAAGCTGTTTTCTCCAGAAGACTTCTCCGGTTTCGGCATGGACTGCGATCAACAGATAGATAGAAATGACATCTATATGGGCGTTGCTCGTTGCCTCGCGACTACCGCAGAACGCAGAATAGTGTCGACAGGACGGGAGTTTGTCTGGGGCTTGATTCTTAGGCCTTTGAATGATGAGCTTGGTAGGACAGATGTGTACAAGCGTGTCGGGTGGTTCAACACCGCTATCTGGAATCCAAAGCAGCAGCGCGTAATTACAATTATTTAGTTGCAGAAGATTATAAAGAAAATTAAATGCATATCTATAGTGCTCTTTACCTAATTTAGAGTTATCTTAATAGTAAAAGAATATAAAAGACTATAGAAAAGAGTAAAAAGACAATTAGCTAGTTCTTTTAGAGCTACTAATTTACTTTAATACTATTTTAGATATTACTATAGTAATAGAGTTATTTATACTATATAATAAAGCGAGAAACTTATAAACTAACTTTATAATATTTTTTATAGCTTTTTAATTAACTTATTAGTTAAGTAATAATCTTCTAGTTTAAGCTAGTTTTAAAGAAAATAGTTTATTACTAGTATTTTAAAAAAAAATATTTCTAAAATCTATAAAAGTATAATTTTAGATAGACTAAGACTTAGATTTCTAAAACTACTACTTCTAGTTAATTAAAGCTTCTAAAATATAAGCTAAAAAAGTAACTTTTTTTTTTAAATTTTAATATTAATATATAGTAAATAGAACTATTATATAATTATAAATTTTAAATTACTTATAACTTATAAAGTAAAAGATTATAAACTAAGAAACTACTAGAATATTTAATAAGTAAAATAAAACTTCTATATAAAAGAGTAGTAAAAAAAAAAAACTTTAGAATAGTTATCTTTCTTAGAGTAATATATCTAGATAAATAGACTATCTAGAATTCTTTTTTATAACTTTAAAAGCTAAGAACTTTCTCTTTTAGTTTATCTACTAATATTATTTCTTACTAAGCTTTAAGCACTAGTATACTTTAGCTAAAATAAAAGTAATAATAGAATTTTACTAAAACTA